AGCCTTTGATTGATCCCTTTTCCTCTCTGCAAACCACCACAAGGTGGATCTATTATTATTATTATTATTATTATTATTAATTTGAGGTCATAGCATAACTGTATCCTGTCCCACTTCACTTTCCTCTCTCCAAACCTTCTCATATACCTTTCCTTGCTTTCTTACAAATCCATGGCCCCTTTGTTCATTAAATGCTACATGCCCCAAGACAAATCTTAATGCGTCCTCTTCAAATGAGGCAACTAGGAAGCACTTGGCAATTGACCCAGATCTCTAGTTAGAACACGAACTGATAACCCACAGGACATACATGTGGCCATTGAAGCTCTAAATCTTTTGGCTTCTCCACAGTGAACATTTCTCTTGCATTCTGAGGCTGTTAAAAGAGTGATTCTCCCAAGTGAATTATTTAATATTCAAGCATGCTAAAACATAACTTTGGCAGCTTTCTGATTCCAAGGGTGAGAAAGCATTATTAAGAGCTTCCTGCTCTTAGCTTCCTTGAGGTTCAGTGTGAGGCCACATTGTGGATACTTTGTTGTTGAAAAAGGAAAAATCATAAAAATGTTGCATGAGAAATAACCATCGCTTATGTTGGTTTAATGATGGCCTCTGGCCACAGAGCTTTTTAAGGACTTAACTTCTGAATAATAATTAATGGGTTGTATCATTAACGTGGTCATGGTGTTTCAACAATAGGTTCAAAATGAATGTAAAAGAAACTATCGCCCCGGCATCCTTGAGTCCAATAATCTAAATGATTCACTGAAACATTCTTGCAAATTTTAAATTGTATTTAAGGAAAAATGTCAAAAGTGAAAAGACTTTATATCTTGCATGCAAGATCATTGCTGGGGGGAGGGGCTTATTTCATGAGGCCCCATGCCAGGCTCTCTCCCTCATCACACAGGCCCCTGAAGAGCTGTCAGGGAGCTGCCCTGACTGTGATGTTGAGTTCATCCAGTCAGGTGGAGAATCCACCAGTTGCTAGACTGTCACGTTTTCTGAAGTCCCAGCCCACATGATCATACAAACATAAGCAGGACACACCCTGGGCTGTTTGGCTGAGTCTAGAGTAGTTCTGATACCCCAGGCAGAAAGAGACAGTTGTAGGCCCAGCTGCGGAACCACAGCCATAAGGAGACAAGAGTAGGGCAGACACATGAAGAGAGGCTATAGTGAACTCACGTAAAACACCTGTCCATTGAGTTGGCTCCCAGAAACGCTCTCCACACAAGTCAGCAAGTCAATTGAGACTCTGTGCTTTCCATTAGAGAGCAGCATGTGTCCATCTATGATGTTAGAGTGTCAAGAGTCTGTTATTAGATGGTGAGGAACAACTTGGTTAAATGACTGGATAGAAATATATTTCTATGAAAAAAGTATGGAATGATATAATGGAAATAAAATTGAAGGCTCAAAGAGCGGCTCAGTCCTAGAACTCAAGACTCTAATACCATCCACAACATGGCAACACAGTAATAATAATTATCATTAATATTGTTTATATAATATTATTTATGTAATAATTTTGTTGTTGAAAGAAAGTTGCTTTTCCAAAAGATGTGTCCCAAAAAGATGTTCCAAAAGATGAGATTGAATCATAGGGCTGAAGAGATGGCTCAGCAGTTCAGAACATTTTTGTTCTCCTAGGGGACCCAAGTTCAGCTCCGAGCACTCATGCTGGGGGCTCAGAGCCTCCTGTAATTCCAACTTTGGGGAGTACTTTTTTGGCCTCTGAAGGTACTTGCACACATGTAGAGTACATATACACACACACAAATATATAGAAATATCTCTTTTTTTTTTAAGTGACGAAATCTCTACTATAAAATCGAAGATTTCCTAGATATTAAACACCTTTTAACTTTCTACCATCATTAAGAACCTTAAATAGAAGCTGGAAAGATGGTTCAGTGCTTAAGAACACTGACTGTTCTTCCAGAGGTCCTGAGTTCAATTCCCAGCAACCACATGGTGGCTCACAACCATCTGTAACGGGATCTGATGCCCTCTTCTGGGATACAGGTGTACGTGCAGATTGGACACTCATATACATAAAATAAATAAGACTTAAAAAAAGAACTTTAAATAAAGTGACAATCTTCTAATAAGCAAGTATGCTAAATAAAGCAAGTATTCATTTTGGTTTCTTACTGTCAATGCTGCAATCAGATAAAAAAAAATATGTGCTCATTTGGAGGTGGTGTGTCAGCCTGTATTCAGTCTAGTTTTGAGTGATTTGAGTGGGGGAGTGTGTGTGTGTCTGTGTGTGTGTGTGTGTATGTGTGTGTCTGTGTGGTGTAGAGGTAAAGAAAGAAAGAGGGAGAAAACAGAGCCAGAGGAAAATGAAGTATATGTGGAAATTATATCAACAGCTGTTAAATAAGACAACGTAAGACTGTTTATTGTTCTGCCTTTCAACTCTCAAGAGGACTTAATGCTTTTCTAAAAATCTCTCAGTCCAAGCAAGTAACAAATAATTCAGTTTGCGTCAGTCTTAACACATTAAAGTCGCCAAAGTCACCGTCTTCTCCTTAATCATATTCACAGATTGTCCACACAGACACGGAGCACCTTGGTCACAGCAGAACCATAAGCTTCTCTCCATTCAGCCCGGCATTTGTTCAGGACACAGCACAATTAGGAGACTGACAGGAATGATGCTGGGCAGTTCCTTCTCTCCTGGACAATACAGCCATCAGGAAAATATACACTAAACATGAGACTACAGAAGTTCCATAGAGTGAGGACGAGAGGAAGTTGTAGCCTAGGCTAAAGGAGTTCAGCGTGGATGTGTGTGCTAAAGCTAGAGTTGAAAGGTTTCTAGAGTGGAGGCTGAATGACTATTACTCAAAACAGACAGATGATGGTGGATGGATGGATGGATGGATGGATGGATGGATGGATGGGCAGACAGATGGATGGACAGACAGACAGATAATAGATAGACAGATAATACATAGATGTACAGATAAATAGATAGATGGATAAATAGTTGATAGAGACAGATGGATAGATAGGTAGATAGATAGATAGATAGATAGATAGATAGATAGATAGATAGATAGATAGATA